ATCCGCGTGGGCTGTACCACTTCTGCAGGACAACAAACACTAACACACGTAACCTACGCACGTGGTTACGTAGTTGGAGTAGTAGAAGTATACTGTCTGCATACAGTACCTACAAAAAGTACTATTTATGGTGCCCATTGATTAAAAAGCCACATTAATTCCATGTAATTAAAAAAAGGGATGAATACATGTGCTGTAGGCTACTTAAGTACAAATTTATGGTTCTTGTACTTCTTTTATTCCTTCCCATTTTATGCTACTTTACAGTCACTTTTCCACATTTCAGGTGGAAATATTGTATATATTTTACTACAATAATCTGACAGCATTAGTTACAAGTTACTTTTTAGATCAAGATTTTATAGGTCAAACATAATATAAAATCGTTGTTGTAGTGTTTGTCTAATTTTTTATTGCTACTGCAGCCCAACTAATCGCCCCTGGGGGACAAATAAAGGTCTTGAAACTGAAAATATGCAATGTTATAGATGAAACTACCTAACAGTATCATTTTAAATTTTTTAAAATTAGCTTGACAACATTCAGATGCTGCTTAGAAGGTAACAGGGAATAAAATTCCAATAATAATATAAAATGTAACACTTTGAATGGAGCCATTTTGCATAATGAGTACTTTTACTTTTCATAGGTAGGCTAGAATTTGCTGCTAATCCGCTTTTGTTTTTATCAAGATTTTGAATGCAGGACTTTCACTTGTAACAGAGTATTTTTTTCACTGTGGTGGACCTATTGCTACTTTAAAATATCTGGGTACTTTTTCCACCACTTAATAATACAGTATTAGTCAGTGGTGGAATTAAATTACTCCTTAACTTAAGAAGAAGCAGCAGCATCACACTGCAAAAATACTCAGTTACAAGTAAGTCATATCAAAGAAATATACAAGACCATCATTCACTTCGTGTTCGTTGGATTACCAGCTGGGCAAAGTGAGCAGCTGCTCTGAGGCCCCAAAACCTCATGAGGGGCCTGAAGCCTCCAGGTTCACCATGTGGCAATTAGTTTTAGGTAATCTGATTAAATGAATATTTGTTTAGTAATACTGTTTGCAACACTGAAGCACAACATTAACTGGCATGACAAGGGGCCCTAAGTTGACACCGGCTTTGTTACATCACTTTGAGACCCTTTTTGTAAAGGGGCCCTGAGTTAAAATCTAGGTTTATGGCCTTTATCATTTATAGTGCACTTACATTCTACTTACTCTTAAAAAACAAATGTGCTTAATCAAGTCACCACAAAGGAATTATTAATTTCTAACAAATTCTTACATAATTTACAGAAAGTGGGCAAAATAAGGTTGAGAGGTCTATGGGGGCCCTTATAGTGTTAATCCGACCCCGGATAGAACTAAGAACTGTAATAATATTTACATGGGGATTATAAAATATTGATCTTTATTCATAATCTCTCCTCTCTCTTTAAAAGAATGAAATAAAAGTGAAATTCAGTTCTGATCATCTTCTTCATGGTAGTGACTGAACAGATAAAGATTCATTGTCTTGCAAGTCCCACAAGTGTTGTGGAGATCAGACCTACAACTGGTTAAACAGATGTCTCTCTAACCACCAGGCCCAGCCTATTTATAGATGAAGGTTTTAAATTGTAAGCTGATATTAAAGTTGTTTTCACTTTAGATGTTTGTAAGTGCTCTCGGACTCCTATAGCAGAGTCACAGGTTTACAGAGCCTACGCGTCCTTTGCTACCACAAAGTCCTACTACATTCAGGACATGTTCATTCTGTCTCCTAAATGAAATGAAAATATAGAAATATACACATTTGTATTAGCACATTTATTGTTTGAAGAAATTGAGGGTCAAAGAAAATTCAACAGCCACACATGAGAAGTACTAAGATTTTTGTACCACTGTACCAACAGGTTTGATTCTACAGAAATAGTACATCTAGATCTTAAAATGATTAGACAACCAACATCATTATGATAATCAGTGATTGCTGAGGCACATATTTTGTAGACAATGTATAACTGATGTTTAAAAAGTATTCTGAAACTGTGGGGGAAAACGAGGAAGTGAATGTGAAAGTTAATATAAAACCCAGGATACCAGTTGCTGAAGGACAAAGCAGTCACATGCAATTAAACTGCTTCGCTGATTTCTGTTTTTCTGAAAAAGTGGATTTTCACCAACTTAAACACATGCACACTGTGACTACTCTGTCCTAAAACAAAGTGGTAATGAAACACTCTCGCATTGTTCTTTTTGTTGAGATAATTACAGTTTTTACACGTTCAGGAATCCAGCGTTGCGTGCAGCACAGGGTTATTATCATAGCACTGTTGAAATGATAAACATGCACCCTCAGCAGTTTTAAGCGGACATCATATTTATTCACAGAAGATAAGCAAAAGTGCTCCACTCAGTGTGATTTCCTCATGTTGAAGTTCCCATTTCGTTCTGCGGTGACATCTTCATAGCCTGTATTAGTGTCCTCATCAGGGTATGTGAACTCTCCAGGGAACCTCCATCTCCTGCAAAATTTAACCCACTCACTCTCCCCAGAGCTACACCCCAGCTTCACTGTGATTAAAGCATGACCCATGATGTGTCACCACACCATACCCCCTGCCTTTATACCCTCTGGTGGTTTATTTATATCCTCAAAGAGCTATAAATCCCCAGGTGAAAGTGCTGCCCTTTTCACCAATCAATCTTCCCTCCTGAGCCACTTTGCACTGGGAACAGTAAACTCTGTGCAGTGATGAGGCTCATGTATTTATTGTATTTTCTTCCAATTTAATTTGTTAATGATATTGCCAATTTGGGAGAAATTGTTTTAGTGAGGCTTTTTTCACACCACTGGCATAACTTGTGCTGCATAAATTCTCAAAACCCCCCTCAGTAGCACTAAATAGTTTATGAGCATTTATGGCCCATGACCTTTGTAATTGTGGTAACCTCACGGTTAAGGTTTAATGCTGCAAAAATACTCAAGCGTTATTATATTTTCTTGCAGGCAGGCAAGGCTGCACTGGCACCACCTCCCCCGTGACCAGTGGTTGCACATCCACACAAGACTGTCTGGGACATTTGGTTTTACAGTCTGTGAAAACAGCCTTTGTTAAACACAACATTCCTCACTAGTCACATTGGTGAGCCAGTCCTTGCACACCTCAACCACCCCCTGCCCCTTCCCCCTCTGTACTCTCATGGTCCCATCCCCTGCCAAGGCATGACCATCTAGAGCACAGAGAGGTCACCTCAGTGCTGACGCTACACACTTGTGTTTGCGGCTCCACATAGGTCTTCTCCATAATGACCTCCCTCTGAAATGACCCTCGGTAGTACACACTGACCTTTGGAAGACAATAAAGACAGCATACCTGTTCCACAGAGCATGTTCACATTACTGAAGGATACAGCTTCTGCAATGAATACATTTGGCAACAGACTTGTAGATTATATCTTTATTTAAAGGTGTAGTTTAACTTTCTCCAGTATTAAATAGTGTGAAGGCATGTACACAACTGGTGACAGACATAAGTGCTGTACCATGCAGTACTCTATGTGCACATGCTGGTTTAGTGACAAAATACCACATGTAGTAGGTATATGCACCAGGGTATGCACTTAATTCACATTGACGGTTTTCTAACAATCTGGGGTTCCCATTTAATCACAATTATACCAATGAAAATAGTGTAGGTCATATCTATTGTATTAAAAAAGTAAGTTCAATGTGAAATAGTGACTCCAATAAATGTTTCAACTGACTAGAAATTAAATTGCAAATACTGCATCTAGCAATAAAAAATGTTGTAATGGATTTAGATCGCCATCTGCTGGAATTAAAGGATAGGTTCAATTTTTCATGTTGATCTTAAAATAGGTGTCTATTATGAATATTGTAACAGGTTTTGATTATTGTGATTGTTTGTCCTGGCCATTAAGAGATCCCTTTATACTGAGCATCAAATGTAAGTGATGGGAGGCATAGTAAGAAATCTCTTCAGTCAGTCAGTATGAACAGGAACAACAGGGGCAAGCAAAACCCAGTGTACATATGGGTTTCTGATTGTTTTAAGACCTAACCTTTAAGTTTACAAAGCAAGGCAGATATATAGGATAAGTTTTTTTTTCACCCCCAGAAGAACAACATTTTAGCTTGTTGCCTGTCTGAAACTGCAAATGCATTCATCTCATTGACAAGTTTGACCACCTGCCCATACCTTCGCCTAAATCTGAGCTACAGAAATCTGTATCATTTTGTAACTTGTGTGCTAGAAACAAAACTACCCAATAATAAAAATTAAAAAGCTTTAAAAAGCCATATAAAAACATCACAGCTCAGCCAGTACTTTTTTTATTGTTGATCAGAGGTAGACTGGTACGTTTTCTCTTCTGTGATGGTGTGGAAAGAGGTGACACTGTAGATGAAGTGATGACAGGAGGGAGTTGAGAAATGGCCTAAAAGGTCTATAGGAGAGAGTCAGGACATGGGTAATTTGCAGTGAAGGTAGAGTTGTTGAGTGAAAAAGAGAGATACAAATAACAAGTAAAGCAACACGGCCTTAAATATGTTCTCAGAGTTACATGAGAGGGAATCGGTGGGAAATTAATTCATTTGCAGAGTGACAACAGACTGACTGAGAAGGTGTTAGTCAGCCAACTGTGTGGTGACTCTTGGTGTTTACAAAGTGGCTTCTGGTCACTTTAGAAAACACAATATCTCCAAAGATGACCACAGGGGACATACTTGGCACAGCCACCTCTCATGTACAACATCCCTTCACACCAAAGTCAGAACAAATCTGGCGAATGCTGGTTTCAAACAACTCTTATCCTTTGGCAACAATATGAAGTGGACACATTGTTTTCCCTCCATTTTTAGCACTGGTTAAATGTTTTCCAGTCATTCTGATCAGTGTGATGTCAGAAAAACAAGCCCTAGCAAGACAATACTGAATCTTATCCACAATATTTTCATCTAGTAAAAGACGACAAAATAAAACACTTGTATGATTTTACACTGTGTCTTGTCTTTATTACAATGACACTACAACAACCACCATGCAGAAGCAGTTGATTATTCAAATAAATAGTCTTAAATGACCATATACTTACAAAGGAGGTGCTTGATTATGGAGATGTTGTCCTAATTTTATTGCAGTTTGTGTGCAGATGTAGGCACATCAATTTGAGCACACTCTACCATGAAAGAGATATGACAAATCACAGAGCCAAACATGTTACAGACTCAAAAAAAGAAAGAAGACACTGTAGGGATGATTTAAAAAAAAGATTGTTGTTAACGAAAGCAAAAATCCTTGTTTTCTACTTTCTTCTGTTTTCTGACACCTCTGGGTATTTGTCTCAGTCTTCTCTTAGATAAGCCTCAGGCACCTCTTCCTCATCATTCTGTAAGGAGGCAGCATATTGTGCCATCCTTTCAACCTCCATTACTTTAGTCTCGGCCAACTTCTTATCTGCATCCACTGACATTTTCTGTGCCTCCTCCACCTGCGACTGGGCCACATGAATGTTTGTCGACACTGTGATGGACGCATGTTCAGCTCCTGGACACACACACACACACACAGCAAACACACACTCCGTCAAATACTTCAAAAATGTTCAAAGGTTGACATAACACCACCTCAACTTCAGCCATTAGGTGTGGTCATTAAGAAGGCACTCCTGTCCATCATCTCCATTTTGTTTTACACAAAGCCATACTGAGTGACAGCAAATGATCCACACACGGTCCAAAGTGTAACGCTGACAGCAGCTGTATGGGAACAGGCACGGACAACAATGTTCAAAGCTTTGAGAAGATAATTCACAGCTTAATACTTTTATTCATAATTACAACAGCCCTGAGAAAACCTGTCTCAACACTTCAACCATGACATCCCAACTGTTCAGTCACACAGCCACATAACCACACTCTGACAGTTTCTTTTAGACACCTGAGATGTATGCTGCCTCCGCTGCCATTTCACACAGCTTGACTGCGGTGACCCAGGTTGACTCAAAACGTTTGCATTCATCTCGTCTGTCACTAACCTGTCAAGACAGAGAGAATTACAAAACCCATGTCAGACTGAAACAGCTCTTCAACTGCCTGTTTTCTAAGGGTTTGTAAGTCTGCTGTCATATTTATGATGCAGCAATCAATAAACAGAAAATCTGAAGGCTTTTCTCTGGTTTGTTTTGAAGTGCTTTTCATCACAGAAGACAGCATAAACTAACCTCTGCACGCTGGGCAATGATCACCTGCCAGATTGTATTCTCTTCTGCTTGATCCAGTCTTTCAAGTGATTCCAAATATCGTTTTTGGAGAGCAATGAGTATGTGCACGGCCTGTTGGCAAACAGAGGGAGGGCATAAACAGTTTACATTAAAAAAAAAGATCAACTATGGTCAATTTAGACAAAGGCAGGTGTGCATCTTATCCCTACCACTAGCCAGGACAGTGTTTCTGGAAAGAAATGTATTTTGGTGCTTTGGAGTACCTCAAATGAAATTTAATTCACTCCTGTTGTATTAAAGTGGTAGCGGTCTGCGTGTTTTTCACTAAAGTAAGTGAGGAAAAAGGGTATGTTTTGTGTGCTTTGGGTAAAGTGATCTTTTAAGGTTTATGGCATCCTTGACAAAACAGTTTATAGAGATCTGCCATTGGCTTGTCTCTACATCATGCTGCATCTGGAAATCTCTATAACTTGCACTCCCAAATATACTTTTTTGACATATATAAAATAACCTATTACTTTAGTCCTTCAGTATTTATTCAGCTGTATCATATTCTTGTTTACAATTTACAGAAACAGTTTGACTTGTATATAGACCTTGCATGTTATTGTTGCTTTTTATTTATATTTACATACTTACATGTACAAAGCAACTAAAATCCGAACATCTGATTCTGAGGAACTGGAAATATGACCATGCAACAGCTCAAAAACGTCAACCTTTCACAAGTGCTTCTCTTCATACATATTATTTGTGTTTACATATATAACATAACATTCTTTACATTCTATATTAATTCTGCCTGATGCAGGCCAGTGTCATCACATTGCATTGTTTCTCTATTTCTACATTTCTTATTATGTAATACTGCAATGATACATGCACTAACAATTCCTACACTAAACACATTAGACTTGCAAATAATCTTTCTGAAACTGAACCAGACAGTCCTACCATATGGAAAAACTGTTTGCCAAAAGATCTAAACTTACTTTTGAATACTCTGTGATGGCATCTATGAGAGCCAAGGTGGTCTGAGAGAGAAAAGAGCTTGAACTGTCTGTTGCCAGGGAGGCTGCTCGTCTGATCAAAGAGTCGTGAGAGAGGTTTTCAACCTGCAACAGAGACACAAGGTAGGTGTTTACAGTAAGCTATTTACTATAAACGACTGCTGTAATGTCTTACGAGTGGTAAGTGAGACTGACCTGTCTGAAAGGTACAGCGCACAGCCCACCGCCGACGGTGAAAGACGCTATACTTCTGTACAGAATATTTGTCCATTTCCACGGTTTATTGACTGCAGGTTTTTTACTGCTGAGCAAAACGCGAGCAGAACTCCTGAACAAAACAAAGAACCACTTTCATTTCATTTCAAGATTTAGGCTTTTACGATGAAGTTCTGAAGCAGTGTCAACTATGGCAAAAGTATTTTATATTCAAGGCTCTCTAACGTTACCTAGCCACTCCAAAACTCAAAACTGAAGCTAGTTGTATATTTAACATCGCCTTTGTCATTGTACTATTTGTCACTTGCTAATTTTAGGCAACGAAAAACAAGTTTAACCTGTTCCGGTTACCGTTGCTGGCACTACCATGAAGCAAAACATTTAAAGTCGACGGCCGTATTTTATTTTAAGAGGCTGTGACTTTAGTACCTATGTATATAAATTAAAGCAGGCTAAATACTTAATAATATACCAGTTTGACGTTATCTAACTGTAAAACACATCCTACCTGATGAGGCTGAGGCAGGTTGTTAGCCTCCTCAGTGCGGCCATGTTGGTCCGTCACAGTAAATTCTTCGTCGTCACTGAGCAATGGTTCCCCTGCTGTGAAGCTGTCACAAAGTGAACTTTGTTGCCCTCTTGTGGTGAAAATAACAACATTATCAGGTGCTCAATCATGTTTTTCTGCCCTACAACAACCTGCCCAGTAATCACTACACAGCGAAAATGTATTGGTTTATCTTCCTGTATAGTACTGTTGTTCAGGACATCTTTTCAACAACAACAAAGAGGTTAAAGAGGTTCTGGTTAATATTGGTTTAGATAAGGATTTAGTGTCTGTAGTCAGTTGAAATTCCTCACAAGCAGGGTCATGTATTTTTGCATTTTACATTCAAGGCATGTAATGATGAAACAGCACTGTGCAAATATCAAGTCCTTGTATGGCCTTTACAATCTCCCCCTGACCACAGTCAAGAAAATGTGTTGAATATAAGCACACAAATCAAACAGAATTAAAGAGTAATGACAGTGAATTGAAGGGAAATCATTCAGATTGAAAGAGCATGCTAAAGTAGGGATGATAAAGATCAATGCTGATATGATGGATTGAAGTATTGTGCTGGTTGCATCCTAATATGTTTCCCAGTCATTGTGCAGAAATACAGCACATAGAAACATTTGAGACTTGAAAGGTAAGATACAACTAAATCATTCAAGATAAATTTACCAGCATTTATTATTTGTGATACCCTACTTTACATAATTAAATATGGTCTGTCATACTACTGCAACTATGCATTACCATGCAACAACAGTAGGCTACTTTTAAAATCTCTGGTTGCACTGTGTAAGAAATGGCTAAGAACATCAATATGGCCTTCAAATATAGCTACTACTTTACAGTAACAGCTTAATGATTATAGGCTACTCCAGAAAGTCTGTGTTGTGTTATGTCTGCACACTATGTAGGGTTCAACAATATTTTTGCCACTGACAGGCTCAGATTGTTATTGTAAGTGTCTCAGAACATTATGGAACCCGACAGAGACAGAAATTTTTGTTAAGAGTAAGATCTTTATTGTTCAATCAAAAACAGACGCTATGAGAGGTAAACATGCTGTTTTTGTCAAGGGAGTTTGGTGGCTTTGAGGAGAACAGCTAAACCCTTAGAATGTCTCTTAGTACAACCAAATGCTAAATATGACATTTCTAGGAGACCAACTCACTTTCATGAACTGAAAACACAATGGCCCTCATTTATGAAAAGTGCGTACACCAAATTTCCAGCGTACACCTGGCGTATACCCAAAACCACAGTGACTTTGAGGTTTATCAATATGGACGTTGGCGTACGGCACGCTCAAATCCTACTCCAGCTCAGGAGGCGGTGTACATGTAAGCAAGTTTTGAGTTAGTGCGGAAATGCGCAGAAAAACACCACAAAACGCACTGACAAACTAAAATATATGATATATTATGACCTACTGTAAAAAAAACAAAAACAAACAAATAAAACATAGTAATTATAAACTTCAGTATTTATTTTTTGTGCAACATGGACTTCAATGTTTGTGTGACTTTACTAAAGCATTTGATTTGTAGGTATATGTAGTGCAGAAGTCGTAATTTGGGTCCATATTTTGTTTTTGTGGGCGCCTTTAATCCCACCCACAAAAATGTAGCCTACACATCCTCTCACTCAGTCAAGGTCACTATTTCCAGCTTATGGCTTCAGTTTTGCAAACACAATGGTTGAGAACAACCACCAGCAATAAAAGTACTGCCCATCCCTCCTTTACAAAACTGCGTTATCACGTCCCGCGGATGGTTTTTGCATTGTATGTTCAATTGTTACCAACTGCTGCTTTAAATGTTTACAGTGCGTTGGATATGATTTGCCTGTCTCCTGATTGACTGCACACCGTGGTAGCGACTTAACGATGTAGCCACACCCTAAAGCATACCATGCTTTATTGTCTATTTTACTATAAATGGGACTATAATTTACAAAATGAACATGATCATGCTAACATCATTGAACTAGACTTAAAACTAGTGACTGAGACCATAAACTGATTAGGAAAGTGTTTACTGAGGAAATAAATCAAGTAAGAGGTTAAATCATTTTTTCATTGACTTTAATGCAATCGATCTTCTTTTGCTGTTAGCCATTAGAAAGAATGCGGTTTATGACACTTCGCATTGGCTTCACTTTTCAGTCCCAGAGGTTTCCGCTTGGTATAAGCAAACCATTTTAGCCTCTGTCTCTAAAAGCCCATTTTCCCGACATACTTGCTTTTTAACAATGCATAGGCATAGACAGGCGTCGGCGACGCAAACGGCATTGTTCACATACTTGCTTATGTACTTTCCGTGTACCTGGAGGACAACGTCAATCCACTAGGGGGCAGATAAGGGTCGAATTATCTTCCTTAATAACCTCCGAATTCGCACACTGTAAAAAAACCACACATAGCGACACTCGAAGAGGTCATGATTTATGAGATATCAACAATCCTGGTAATTGCTGATTAACTCCAGGAGTTTTATTGAAAACATCCCGCCATAAATCTCCTTTTTTAAGTCTGCTGCTGACCTTCTTCTTCTTTTGCGTTTAATGGTGGTTTGAAAACCAACTGCATACTCCCACCACCTGGGCTGGTGTGTGGAACAGTGGTGCTGACTTGATCGACATACCCCCCACGTTCATGTGCTGAATTGCATCTCGCAGACGCATAGCGTTAATTTCTGAGATGTGCACAACCTACTCTCCAAAGGAATTCAGGATACGCATGGCAGCCATCTTGCATTCGCCAACGCGTAGTTAAAAGCAAGTATGTCCAGGGCTTTAGAGTAACCACTAATTGATGCTAATTGTAACTGCTGTTAGCTATTTAGATCTGACATCAGTTCAGCACGAAAGAAGGAAAAACATTGGAAAATTGGTATTCAGAGCACGCAAATGCCTGAGCTTTTTGTTCACAGAGATTAGTTTTACATACGTTTATCTCATTATTTGAAACTTTGGCCAAACCTTTGGCGAACTATGAACATCGGACATTGTAACATAAAATGTATGACAGAAAATAAGGGAAAGCATAATAGATCTTAAGCAATTTTTGGGAACTGTAACATCATCTTTGAGACCTTTTGACTGTCCTTGAGTAAAGTGGCTTTGAGTCATAAAGATAATTGATTTGCATGTAATCTATAGTACAGTGACCCCAGCTGGCTGCCTCCAGGTTAGTTTCCCCAAACAACTGTCTCACCTGGTTGTTTGACTTCATGTGGAATACAGTGTAGCCCACTGTTAACAAACAAACTTATCCAACATCAACAAGGCAGCCTTTAAATAATTAATGATGTCATTAACCATCACTTTTACAGTAATTAGTTTCACTGGAGCTTATTATTACACTACACATAGGAATACAGATTACTGGCTAATTATCAACATCATTACATGAAAGAAAACATTATCTGATGTTGAAAAACAAGTCAAGACTTGAGATCATAAGTGTAATATCCCCTCATGACGTGTCAAAGTTAACTATCAGAAGTTGATGACTGTACAGGCCACACATTGTCAGCAGTTGTGCGGCAAAGTTATGCATTTACATTACAATGATTTGTTTTACTTTCCCTGATATGTGTGTATGACTATATACTCATGCCAGTACACATAGATCAGTAGCCTATGCAATGTGTCATGCATGTAGATACACTAAAAAAGTGTTTTGTTCTGTGTAGGCCTATGTTTTTATTATTAATTATTTTATCTCACATTAACGCAGTTTTTATTATTGTTATTATTATTTTGAAAGTCAGTTGCTCACTGGCTCTGAATACACATACAATCAAACCATGGGTCACAGGAGGAGTGGGATGTTGATCAGCCTGCAAATCACCAACACAAACAAACAGTGCAGGGAGGCTTTGGCAGACTACATTGGATACAGCGTGTGGGAGAAATAGGTTAGATAAACAAAAGCGAGACAAGCGAACAATCAAATGCCATAGCGAAGTGGATAGCTACACACTGCATGCTGATTAGTATTGGGGAAGATGTCTGTCTTAGGGCCCGTGTCCACCAAAGCGTTTTTTTCTGACACCAGCATCTTTTTTCAATTCATTCCAATGGTGGGAGCGCCGCGTTTTTAAAACACCAGCAGCGTGATGAGGCGCTGAGCGTTTTCTCGCCGAGAGTTGAAAAATGTTCAACTTCACTTCACTTTTTACCCAGCCGCCCAATCACAGTAGAGGAGGGGCGGGACAAATACAACACCGTAGCAACGGTTAATATCCTGAAACCGGGCTTCGTCCAACCTCAGCTCTTGGATTAAATGGTGGTACTCGCCGAACCCACATGGCGAGTCCGTCCTCTCTCTCTACTTGCTTCAGCCTTCTCTTCATACAGAGCAAGGGCCAGAGCAAGTACTCTACTCTGTCTTCTTAAAGCATTTGTATTTGTTAGTTTTTGGTGCATGGTATTTTCAGAATTTTTTTTCACAAATGTTTTCAGAAAGTGGTGGAGACATGTCCCCAGCGTCCCCAGTGTAAACACCTATGCCCTGACATGGTTTTATACTGTGATGATTAAAAATTACCCAAATTTCTTTTGAGCAGGAAATATATATTATCGGTGTTGCCCTGTTGAGCCAGGGGGTCAGACACTTCAGGCACTCTAACACAGCAAGGTAGAAACCACCCATTGTTCAGTGCAAAAACAGAGTGTGGGTTATCCCCTTACTCAATCAATCAATCAAACAATCTTTATTTAATATAGCACTTTTCATACAAATACATGTAACACAAAGTGCTTCACACTATAGAACCATTTAAAAATAGTTAAAATCCTAAAAATAAAATAAAATAAAAAGCAGGTCAAGCCCAAAGATCAATCCCCGCCACACTAAAAATACAGCTCAGTTAAAAGCTTGGTTAAATAGGTATGTCTTTAGTTTGCCTTTAAACATGTCCAGATTTCCTGCTGCTCTCAGCTCAACAGGAAGGGTGTTCCACAAACGCGGGCCATAACATTGAAAGGATGCCTCACCACAGGTTTTGGTTAACGGTTTAGGAATAAGCCACTACCAGAGGACTTGA